TTGCTAGAGGCTTAGCATGGCTTCACCATGGATGCCAACCGCCGTATGTTCATCAGTACTTTAGTTCCAATGTTGTGCTTCTGGATGATGATTTCGATGCTCGAATAGCCGAATTCGGTTTGGCACGATTGATGGGGTCTCGTGACTCGAATGACAGTTCATTTATGAATGGGGATTTAGGGGAGTTTGGTTATGTAGCTCCCGAGTATTCAAGTACCATGGTTGCTTCTTTGAAAGGTGATGTTTATAGTTTCGGGGTAGTGTTGTTGGAGTTGGTTACAAGCCATAAACCGATCGGAGTTAGCAATGCAGAGGTAGGGTTTAAGGGGAATTTGGTGGATTGGGTCAATCAGTTATTCAGCACTGGTCGAAGCAAGGATGCCGTCGATAAAGCATTGGTCGGAAAGGGTCACGATGATGAAATGATGCAGTTCCTGAGAATTGCTTGTACTTGTGTGGTTCCTAGGCCAAAGGACAGACCTTCTATGTACTAGGTTTACGAGTCGCTGAAGAGCATGGTTGAGAAACATGGTGCCGTCGAACACTACGACGAATTCCCATTGATCTTCGGGAAACAACAAGATCATGATAATTTGGAGTAACCCTGTTTGGGGCATACTGCGGTGAGAGTTAAATGCAGGCAATGAACATATCTGCATTTGTGTATGGTATCTTCTGTTTTAAGGCATTTGCTGCAATGGGTATGATTTCCACATGACCAGGATTCCTTGTTTTAATGCTAATTTGTTGGATAATTCTGTATATCACTTAAAGCATCATCTTGCACTGCAGTGATCATTAGCTTAAATGCAGTTGAAAATTGTTCCTTGTTATCCCTGCGAGCTGCTCCATTTTGTGGAAAATGCTAAACTAATTTCCTTGGAACATATTTGGAAGCGAAAGGTTGCAAATAGAGTGCATTTGATAAACTAATTTCCTTAAACATCTTTATAATATTTGCTTCCAAGTTGATCCTTTGATATTTATGGTCATGTTTCTTTGTCCTTTTAGATTCCAACTAGTTTTATATGTTGAATAAACATTTGATACGTTTTATTGTTTTTTTAAGAAAGACAAGGAAATTTGCATTTTTTTGTTGTTGGAAGGAAGTTTTAAAAGATTTCGGTCAACGTAACGTCAGTCATCACGGTAGGCCAATACAATGGCCAATGTAAACAAAACCAGTGAATTAAAAAATGAATACATCATGTCGTCAAGCTTTAAATTACAATAAAATAAATTTTGCAATATCAATTTCATGCTATGGAGTAACGATGACTTATGTCCATTTTAGGCAAAGTTTGACTCCCAAGTCCCAAGTGTTAGTTGACCAACTCATTAGATAGAAGAGAAAATAACTTCAGTCTCTAATTCGCATTGCGATCTCCACTATCGTAAATTCGCGTTGCATTTCGCGTTGCGATAATTGAAAATCGCCGTCCGTCTCGTCTCGGGTCGGGGTCGTGGTCGTGGTAATACGTGTCTTCGACACGTCCGCGCGGATACTATCTTTTTAGAGAAAATTCTTAAGAAACAAATTTTTTTTTTTAACTATCACAACGAATTTGGAAAATCGCAACGACAACTGTAGACTATCGCAACGACAACTGTAGACTATCGCAACGAATTTGGAAAATCGCAACGACAACTGTAGACTATCGCAACGCGAAATTGAAAATCGCAACGCGAAATGGAAAAGCGCAACGCGATTTTCAACTATCGCAACGCGAAATGAACAACGCGAAATGAAAAATCGCAACGCGATTTTCAACTATCGCAACGCGAAATGCAACGCGAATTTGCGATAGTGAAGATCGCAATGCGAATTAGAGATTGCATTGCGATTTTGTTGGTCATTTTCGCAAATCCAAAAAAAATTGGTCAAAATCGTATATTATCTAAGATTTTTGGTCACTGAGGTTATTTTCTCTAGATAGAATAATCGAATGGATTCAGCAGTTATTATTTTTGTTTAGTGGAGTATAATTTTTATGTTCGTTATGAAGTCTTTATTCAGGATTTATGATTATCTTCTTATAATGTTTTTCATGTACGTTTTATAGTCATTATTCAAAATTTATGATTATTCTTCTTAATGTGTATTCATTTTTTTAAAAATTTAATTTCTCTTTTCAAACATATAATATATCGTTAAGTGCATTTTGCATTTAGCCCCTTAAAATTGCATGAAATATGCAGGCAACACAGCGTTCTGGTGATGATAATAACTAAAGTGGGCCGATGGTGATCTTCCTTTCTGGATGTGAGAATTGGGACCAAAGCAGGCAAGGCATGTGGGGTTTAGCTATTCGGTAATACGTCAATTAATCTTTCATTATACGGTCTCTCTGTTTCTGATTTTTGCAACACTGCCCCTGCCCCATGGAATACAAAACCACGTGCTCCATACCCCACTCCCATACCACATTTATCTCTTTATTATAATACTTAATCATTCGAATAATAGTTCACTATTTAAATAACTATCAATATATATATTAAAAAATGAACAGTTTAACATGTGTAAATTTTATTTCGATCTTTACCTGTCAGTTCAGGGGAGTCATACAAAAGGCGCCGGAGGGGGAACCTGCTTTCGTTGATTTCTTCTTTCTTTTTAATCTTGAAAGGAACAAAATTACAGGAGAAAATATAGCATGGTTTTTCTAATAATAAGAGGAAGTATTCATCAGAGTCAATTTTTTTAATTAATTAAATTGATAAATATTATTTTATACGTTGATATTAGGATATTAATTGATTTTAATTTAAACGATTTTATATCAATCATATACAATATACATACATATTTCTTTATATTTTTTGTATGAGATACAAATATATCATGTAAAGCGAAAACTTAACACGAACTTGAAAATCAATTTATTAATTATAACAAATTTCGAAATATTCGAATCCAGTTCTATAACTCGAATTTTAATTTTCCGAATTGAGTTTCTAAAATTATTAATAATCAGGTCGAATTGAGTTTTTAACTTCAAATTAAATTGAAAATTTTAATTTTTTTAATTGAGTCAAGTAAATAAATCCTCTTAGTGAAAAATGTACAAAGACAACAACGCATTAGGGGCTTTTATCACCTTGCCGATGTGCTGGGTCAAACTGGAGAAAACTTTGATCCATATTCTCCCCTATCTCTACAATTGAAGCCATATTCCCAATGGTGGATCTATAAATTAGAAGATAGGGTCCAAAATTTTAGTACTCTAATCTAAAAAAAAAGAATATAAATATGCAATTTTTTTCCATGGATGTGCAATTATCAATATACATTATCCAGTGCATGCATGTATAGCAATAATTCTACCCTTTGTCGAGAGTACAAGAGATTTTAAGCCCAAAGGTATCCGATCCATCCATAAGCAATGTTGTTGATGATAGAATTGATTAGATTATTGATTTATTCAGTTAAATCGTCCGTTTAATAGTTGTTAAATAAAAGAAATAAACCCAATTATGAGAACTCTCTGTTCATAAGCTTGCACTCCTTTTGCTTTTCCCAGTACTCAAATTTGAATTCCTCTTACTTTAGACCACTTGTTTGCTTTTGCCTCTTCTCAACCTAAACGACGAACAGTATAGACCGAATAATGAAATAAAGAGCTAAATATAGGTGGAGTACAACCCTCTTTTGATTCTTTTTTGGAGAATACAATAATTATTTGTATTTTTATTAATTCCATTTTCTTTTTATCCATTTCTTTTTGCATTTGACTGTCACAGGATATAAGAATCCCATGCAAGCCCACAAGTTTCAATGAGCCAAAAATCAAAAGGTTTAATTTGAATTAATCTATTAATAGATTCAATATAAATAATATTATAAAAATTGTGTTGTAAACAAATCAATTCAAAACTTGAGAGCCTTAAGGGAATGAGACAGTAAGACTTTGTATAGTAGAATAAACAAAATCCAAAGGGTGGAAATTTTTTAAGAAAATACAATTTTCTTTCCAATCATGACTGGTAGAGTTGAAAAAATAAGAGGAAAAAAAAAAAGCAAACTTGTGAAAAATATATATTTTAAACTATCTTATATCTCTCATATTTTCCTTCTAAATCAGAATAATTTGTTTTTCACCAGCGATTACACAGTGTATTTTAACGGTCATTATTAAATAATTGAGAATTACTATCATTTATAATCACCTCAATTCATAAAAGAAAAATAGTTTGTTTTTACATGAGATTAAAAAATGACCGTCTCTTTCATTTTCTTTGTCCTCATTGAAGCTTGAAAAAACCATCCAAAGCTCGAAATAAAAAAAATATTGAATTTAACTCGGTTGAAGCTCAAACTCGAACTTGAACGTACATGAAAACCTTCTACTACATTTAAAAACAAACAAACACATAAATATTAATATTATTAATAATTTATTTTTTAAAAATTATAATTTTAATAATATAATTTTTTCGAGTAGCTCGCAAGCTTTTCTAGTCAAGTATTAAGTAGCTCGTTTCGTCTCGTTAAGAACTCGAGTCGGCCTCGAGCTCGAATTGTGTCCATTCAAGTTGAGTATTTATTGAACGTTCACCGAATTGGTCTCAACTAGCTCACGATCTATCTAATCTCATTTACGACCCTAACAACCATTCCACTTTCATTCAACCAAATAAAACTTATATAAATCTGTCAATTAACATCTAAGATTTGAATATTAATATTATAAATGAAATAAATTGAATCAAAAAAAATATCTCCCTAATAAACCTCCTTAGTCCTTATAGTTATAAAAAGAGAAAGTTAATAAACTCAAAACCAAAGAACATATGTCTGCACTACCAAATTCCACCAAATATTGTTCCGTAATCCTACCTGTTTCTTTTCTATGTATTTACTTATTAATTTAAGTGTTAATATTTAATTACCAACTAATTAATAATTTTTTTTTCTTTTTTGTCTTTCAACATACAAAAAGGGTAGCTATCTTTCTCTGCTGGAGCTTAAAGGAATAATCAAAATATTTCAAATATATATATAGTCCCACCTCCGAAACATTACATGCACAATATATGGCGGATATGCTGGTTTTGTACGTGGTCATCGTCTTTTAGCACTTCGGCTGATTCGAAGTTTCCGGCGTCCATACTTTGATGCCTAACCTTGTCTCGGCGGTCGTTTCGAGTTGCCAGCTCGCCTGTTTAAAACGGGAACAAAGAGAAAAGAAAATAGATTAATTAGCTGCAATTTGCTTCGCTTTGTAAGTGCACACGTTCAAAAAAAAAAAAGAGGTGTATTGAAGGCTAGTATAGCAAACTAATGGAAGCAAAGCATGGTAAAAGTAAAGGCTAAACTACAATTGTGATCCTTATTGTTTTTCGGCATGCCTACACCGGTTTTGAAAAAGTTATGTTCTGATCACTTTTGTTTTCATTTTATCTTAATTTGATCTCTAAGTCGTTAACTCCTATTAGTTTGCTAATATGACACATTAAGAAAAATAGTTAAAATTTAATTTGACTCTTGAAATTCAAGCATAATATCAATTTGACCTTAAACTTTAGATAAAATATTAATTTAACCTCTAAATTTTAGATAAAATACTAATTTAACCTCAATATTATTTTATCTAAAGTTTAAGGGTTAAGATAATTTTTTTTAAATTTAAGGTAAAATTAGTATCATACTTAAAATTCAGAAATCAAATGAAATTTAATAATTTTTATTAACATGTCAAGTCAAAACTAATAGGAGTTAATGATCCATGGACAAAATAAGACAAATGATAAACAAAAATATCATATCGTACCTTTTTCATAATCAATCAATAATGAAAACAAAAAAAGCCGAAAAAAATGGATAATTTATCCTAAAAATAAATTGATAAATATATGTTGCCTAGATAGCTAAATATATGGTAGAAGCATACCTGTTATGAATAGGATCTGGTCCTTTAGGAACTCTTCTTTTGCTCATGTAGTTGAGATCCATCCGTGGGTGCACCAAACTCGATAACTTTCCTTTGCCTAAGCCCTTCACTTGCTCTTCCATCGCCTTTCCCTTCCACGGCCATGACTCATCATCCTCATCGGCAATCTTCAAAGTCGTGGTCTTTGTCGTTGTTTCGTTCCCTTCACTTTGTAGGGTCCCAACTAAGATGAACCCCAAAACTACAAGTGCCCCAAACAAGGCTTTAAACGACAAACAGCAATTATAACCGGCGCCCATGGTTTTATTTATGTAATAATATGTTTCCCTAGAACATGGACGAGAGAAAAAAGAAGAAGAAGAAGAAGAAGAGGAAAACAAGTGAAAGGAGATTGCAGAGTTTGTCTGTATATATGGTTTATATGAGAAGAAAAGAAGGAGATAAAGGGAGGGTGGGTTAAGGCAAGAATTTTTGTTGGTTTTTCAATTTTGTTTTTGTTTCACTTGCTGTTGCCGGTTAGTATTCTTTTATAGATGGGTGATTCTGTGTTACTTTCTGAAAGAGAGGGAGGAACAGCTGGTTTTTGATACGTTTGCTTTGAGTGTGCGTATTTTCATGCACTGCTTAACTACTTAAAAGGACTTCATGCCTTACGTACGAGAAGAACAAAGCATAATACTTTTGGTAATCCATTGAGTTATGGAACTTGGAAGGCATACATACGGCTCTAAAGGTTTGAGTCACGTACCATTCGTTATATACTATGTTTAACATATATTTCTAGCTATACACAATAGATTAAATTATAGTTATATCATAGAAGAGTTAACATATAGTTATATCGTAAAAGAATTATAAATTATAGTTGTATCATAGAAAAGTTAACATATAATTGTATCGTAGAAGAGTTATCGTTTCAGAAGTAAATCTATCCTTATTAGTTAAATTGCTAAAATGAATGTTTTCACCTGAAATTAACACAACTCTTTAATATTTATGTACTCAAATATTAAAGTAGAAATCATAGTAACTCTTCCCAATTTTTTTTCCTGAATTTATCATAAAGGATCAATAAAGCATATAGGAGAGAAAACTCAAACATTCTTATGTTGCGGAAGACGGCTATCGGATAGAGCAAAATCGCAACTGATAATTTGAGAAAATAAAAATGAAGATAAAGAAGAAACAAAATTTACGTGGAAAACCCCTAAATAATATAGGGTAAAAACCACGGGTAACGATAGAAGAATTTCACTATGAGAAAATAGGAATTACAACCTCTCTCGATCTACCAAGGAGAAAACAATGATAATTCTCTCTTGATAAAAAGGAGAAAACAACTCTCAAGAAACTCTCTAAATTCTCTCTAGTATTGGAAGAAAGCTAGAATGCTTTGGGATGATTTTGAAGCTAAATGAGCTAGGATATTTATAGTTGAAACTTAAGGACTAATCTTGTAAATACCCTAAAGTTTAATGACTAATTGCATAGTTTTACCATCACCAATTTTCAACAATTTTACACCTAATTTCCAGTGCCTTAATTGCACCTTTCATTTAATGCACCGAAAGTGGCCAAGTTGCTTGGCTTGACTTCTCAACAATCTCCCACTTGAAGATTTGATTGGAACAATCATATCTTCACACCATTCTTTCTACCTTGTACCTTTATGTTGCTTACGTCTCTGACAGGCCACAAGAGGATCGACACCAAGTAAATTTATCGGTATTGATCGCCTTAGTCATGAAATCTGATATGTTGTCTTTGGTATGGATCTTCTGCATATCTACTGTCCCTTCTTCCACATTTTCACGAATGAAATGGTATTGAACTCGTATGTGCTTTGTCCTTGAATGAAATGTTGGATTCCTTGCTAAATGCAAGGCGCTTTGATTGTCACAAAACAGAGAGACATACTCTTGATTGTGCCCAAGCTCCTCCAATAGCATCTTCAACCAAATTGCTTCTTTACTGGCTTGTGTAGCTGCTACATATTCTGCCTCTGTTGTGGACGTAGCCACAACTGACTGTAATTTTGAAACCCAGCTTACAGCTCCACCAGCAACTTTGAACACATATCCTGTAGTAGATTTGCTTTTATCCAAATCCCCTGCATAGTCAGAATCAACATACCCATTGATAAGTAAATTTGATCCTCCGTAACATAATGCAACATTTGAGGTCCCTTTGATGTATCTTAGGATTCTCTTTACAATATTCCAATGCTCTTTGCCTGGATTCGCCATGTACCGACTAACCACTCCCACTGCTTGTGCAATGTCTGGTCATGTGCATATCATGGCGAACATTAAACTTCCCACTGCCGATGCATACGGTACTCGAGACATCTACATCCTCTCTTCTTCACTGCTAGGACTCATACTGGAGGATAATTCGAAGTTAATAGGAAGAGGGGTAGAAATTGGCTTACAATCTTGCATGCTGAATTGTGACAAGATCTTCTTTAAGTAATTCTTTTGTGAAAGCCAAATCTTCCTATTACTTCTGTCTCGGTGAATTTGCATCCCTAGAATCTTGTTTGCTGATCCCATGTCCTTCATTTCAAATTCCCTAGCCAGTTGTGCCTTTAATCCTTTAATATGATCTTTGTTGGGTCCTGCAACCAACATGTCATCCACATACAACAGTAATATAACAAAATCGTTATCACTAGACCTCTTGAAATAAACACAAGGGTCTGCATTAAGTCTGTTGTATCTAAGGGACATAATGAAGGAATCAAATCTCTTATACCAATACCTCGGCGCCTGCTTTAGACCATACACAGATTTGTTCAAACTGCAAACCAAGTTCTTCTTTTCTTTTTCTTCAAAACCTTCAGGCTGGAGCATGTAAATCTCTTCTTCAAGATTTCCATGAAGAAAAGCTGTTTTAACATCTAACTTCTCTAGATATAAGTTCAATGTAGCACACATTGCCAAAACTACTCGAACTGTTGTTAGTCGAACCACAGGAGAAAATATTTCATTGAAATCAATACCTTCTTTTTGAGCATATCCTTTGACCACCAGTCTTGGACGATACCTCTCAACTTGATCGTCACCATTTCGCTTGATTTTGAAGACCCATTTATTACCAATTGGCTTTCTTCCTTGTGGTAGTGGCACAAGGTCCCATGTATTATTTTTATGAAGGGCTTCGATTTCTTCTTGCATCGCCATCATCCACAGAGAAGCACCTGAGTTGTGTATTGCCTCCTGGTATGTTGATGGCTCACCGTCCTCTGTTAAGAGGCAGTATGCAATATTACCTTCTATAACATAATCTGAGTGCCAATTGGGACGTCTTCTCACACGATCTGATTGACGAGTTGTTGGAGCTTCAGAACTCCCTAGTTCTTGTTCATCATGAGCTGGTTCTGCTTCAGAAGAATCTCCTTGTTCAACCTCCTTTTCCACATGTATCTGAGTAGTTTCTGACTTTTCAGCACTATCATCATATTCTTTTCTTTGTAGATTATCTTATAAAAATATAACATCCCTGCTGATGATCACTTTGTGGGCTGTGGGATCCCACAAGCGATACCCCTTGACTCCATCAGCATACCCCAAGAATTTGCATTTCCTAGATTTTGGATCCAGCTTTGAGATTTCTTGGGAGTTGTACATCACGTACACAATACTTCCAAATACATGGAGGTTTGAATAATCAACTGGTTTACCAGTCCACATTTCTATTGGTGTCTTTAGTTCTATTGCAGTTGATGGAGCTCGATTCACCAAATAACATGCGGTATTGATTGCGTCTGCCCAAAATGATTTTTCTAGGCCTGCATCCCTCAACATTGCTCTTGTTCTTTCTAACAAGGTTCTATTCATCCGCTCTGCCACTCCATTTTTTTGAGGAGTGTTCGCCACTATGAACTGTCTTTTGATGCCTTCTTTCCTGTAAAAGTCATCAAATTCTTCGCTTATGTATTCTCCTCCATTATCTGTTCTGAAACACTTGATCTTATTTCCAGAATCAAGTTTCAATCGCGCTTTGAAGTTTTTGAAAGTTGAAAACACATCCGACTTCTTTTTAATAGGGTACACCCAACATCTCCTAGAGTAGTCATTAATAAATGAGACAAAGTATTTTGCTCCGCCTAGGGATGTAACTGGTGCTTGCCATACGTCAGAGTAAACCAATTCTAGAACACTTTTGCCTCTAGAATTTGATGTGTTGAATTTCAACCGGTGCTGCTTACTTGTTATGCAATGCTCACACAAAGTAAGTGATACATTTGTTAAGCCTGGAAGTAACTTCTGCTCCACAAGGACTTTCATTCCTTGTTCTGACATATGTCCAAGTTTATGATGCCATAACATTGTTGAATCTGAACTACATGAGGCAACAGAAGCTTCTGCTTCTAGCAAAGTCTCTCCCTTCAGCATGTACAAGTTTGCTGCTATCTTTTCGCCTTTCAGCACCACAAGCGCTCCACGAAACACCTTCATGATTCCTTTCCGTGTTTCAATCTTACTTGCATTATTATCTAACAATCCATAGGATAATAAATTTTTCTTCAGACCTTTCACATGCCGCACATCTCGAACAACTTTAATTGTTCCATCATACATCTTCAATTTGATGGTTCCCATGCCAGTGATCTCTAAGGCATAATCATTGCAACTATACACAGATCCTCCTGAGACAGGTTCATAATGATGGAACCATTCTCTTCTTGAGGTCATGTGATATATTGCTCTCGAATCAATGAGCCATATATCTGCAAATCGTTTTCTTTCTTCCACGGTGGTTTACGCTTCACAACATAGAGTATCTCCATCATCTGAAGTGTTTGCGGTATTGCCTTGTGGATTGGAGTTTTTATTTAGACTCCAACAATCCTTCTTCAAGTGACCCTTCTTTCCACAGTAGTAACACTTTAAATTCTTCTTACTTCTCGACTTAGATCTACCATGTTTGTGACTGCTGCTTTGGCCACGTTCCGTTGATCTCCCTCTCATCGTTGTCAACGCTTCTGCTTGTTGCAGATTTACTTGTTTGTCTTCCTTGTTCTTGCGCCGATTTTCTTCTTGTAAAACAACAGCTGCAACGTCATCGAAGACTAGACTAGTGACATTACTATTTGTCAAGTTGATGATGAGTTGATCATACGAATCAGGTAAACTTTGAAGTAGAAGTTCAGCACGTTATTGTTCTCCTATTGTACATCTTAAAGATGTAAGCTGAGAAAATAAAGTGTTCAGCGTGTTTAAGTGCTCCGTCACTGAAGTAGATTCCGACAACCGGAGAGTGTACAATTTCCTCTTAAGGAAAATTTTATTGTGCAACAATGTGGCCTCGTACAATTTGGTGAGATGATCCCATATCTCCTTAGTTGTCTTCTTCTCCTCGATGCTTGACAATACTTCATCTGCTAATGCTAGATGAAAGTTTTCCATAGCATTCCCGTCCATTTCGATCCATTTGTTGTCATCTATGAAATCCATCGACCTTTCACTGATAGCTGCTAGACAACCGTCTTTCCTCAGGATAGCCTTCATCTTCAATTTCCACAATGAGAAATTTCTCCCATTGAATTTTTTAATATCAAATTTCGTTGACATAGCTTCTTTTGCGAAT